GCCACCCACTAGCACCCACCGTCTCCTCCACCAGGTCTGCGGGGGGAGAGCCCATTAACGAGGGTGCTAATGAGAGGGTGGTGCACAGGCCAAGCCACCCAAAAAAACCACCTTCCCGTTGGCCAATGACCCAACTAACTGGCTCATGAGGTGATTCCCTTGACCTCCAACTGAGCAATCGCTCAGACAGCTTTGGCCTCAGCCAAACAACTAGTCAAGCAACCAACCAATTAACCAAACAGTTAATCACCCAGTTAACCAACTGGCCTGTCCTTCAGCTGGCCTGCAACTCGTCTGTCCTGCGACTCGCCAACCCCACGACAACTCAAACATCTCACCAGTCACCCCACCACCCACTAATTGGTCAACAGGCAACCGGTTAACCAGCTGGGCACCCTGGGACTTGAGAACAAACTGACAGCCCGGGCCCGTGGCCCACCACTCAACCAGTCCGTAGACAAAGGTCAAACAGCAGCCAAGCAGCCAACCTCCCCATTGTCCAACCAGCCTGCTCACCACCCAGCCAGTGACCACATCACCCAGCCAACCATTCCATCACTCAGCCAATCATCCCATGTCTCAACCAACCTCCTTGCCACCTAAGCAACCTTCCCATCATCCATCCAACCGACAACCCCTTCACCCAACCAACCACCCTATCACCCAAACAACCCCCCCACTACCTGACCAATGGCCTCTTCACCCCATCAACCTCCCCACCACTCAACCAGCCACCCCATCACTCAACCCTCCAACCCAAAAGCCAAACCACTGGGGGTGGAGGCCAAGGCCAAGGCAGGTCTGGAGGCCACCTGACATGGTAGGACTCACCCGAGAGGAAGGTGACCTCACTGAAGAGCATCCACTCCCCGGCGAAGAAGAAGTGGCACTGGATGAAGCGGGCCTGGCGCCCACCCAGGGGCACGGTGACCAAGCGGGCACTGGGGTCCTTGATGGCCCCGCCCAGGCTGTGGGTGGACGGGGTGGGCTCCCAGGCCATGGCCAAGGTCCTCTTGAAGTGGCACTCCACCTCCCCGAAGATGCTCACACCCCGCGTGTGCATGTTGTTGCAGTGAACCTGGGGGGCCATGGCAGTTGGCCACCGTCCCATCATGCCCTGGGGCAACTGGGGTGGAGCCAAAGGGGAGGGTCCAGACCCTGAGGTGGGGGTTGACGTGGTGGCCCCGCACGGGTGCACGCCATGGCCGAGCAATCCCACAAATCCCGGGGCAGACTCTTTGCCCAAACCCCCACAGTACCCTGGGCCACCCGTCACCCTCCCTCCCATGACCCTCTGGGCCACCCCATTGCCCACTGTCACCCCCTGCTCCCCTGCTGCCCTCGGGCCACCGCCTTCACCCCTTCCCTCCACGCCCCAGGGTCCCTGTCCCACCGCCGCCCCCGCTATCCCAGCATGCCGCGGGGCACCTGCATGGCGTGGAAAGCCCGCAGCCCCTCGAACTCAAACTCCAGCTCCACGTGGGGACGGGGGCCCGGGGGTCGTCGCCAGCCCACGTAGTCGCAGCCGGGCCAGGGGTGTGGCTCTCGCAGGCCCAGCACCCCGTCGGCCAGCTGGCCCAGCCCCCCGAACTGCAGCCTGGGAGGGGTCAAAGGGTCCCTGCACGTCTGGGTCACCCCATCCCCCCCGGCCCGGAACCCTCCAGCAGACAGCTTCGGGGCTTAAGGGGCTCCTGGGCACTCGGGGTCCTCCATCCCACCCATCAGAGACCCTCCGCCATGGGGCAGCCCAGAGGTGTGGGGGACACCTGAACATCTGGGTTCCTCCATCCCACCCACCTGGGAACCCCCCAGTGGCTCTCTGAAGGTCAAGGGGCTCCTGGACACCTGGGACCCTCCATCCCACCCGCCCACGGGGCAGACTTGGAGGCCATGGGGCTCCCAGATGTTTGGGCTCCTCCATCCCACCCACCTGGGAAACTCCCTCCATGGGATCTAGAGCATAATTTGGGGGCAATCAACGCTGTTTTGGGGACATTTGGGTCAACGGGGGATCTGGGGTCGTCTGTGGCCAGATGCGGCAGTCTGGGGACAGTCCAAGGTTCTTTCAGTTTGGAGCCATTTGGGGCCAGCAGGTGACAATTTGGAGCCAGTTTGGGCTATCTGGGGACAGCAGGGAACTGGGGCTGTTTTAAACCAGTGGCTGACCATCTGAGGACACTTTGGGGCCATCTAGGGACAGTGGGGGACGATTTGGGACAATTTGGGGACAGTTGGATCCTGTTTAGAGATCTCTGGGACAATTGGGGATGACCAAGGGCAGTCTGGGGACACCTGGAGACAGATTTGGGACAGCTGGGGATCTCTGAGGACACTTTGGGGTCACTTGGGGATGGCCAAGGCTGGCTGGAGACACCTGGAGACAGTTTGAGGACCACTGGGGACAGCTAGGGAGGTCCAGGGACAGTCTGGGGATAGTTTGGAGACACTTGGGGGTGGTTTGACGACCACTGGGAGTATCTGGGGAGACCCCACTCTGAGGACATGTGGGGATGGCCAAGGCTCCTTGGAGACACCTGGGGCCAGTTCGAAGACTGCTGGGGGCATCTGGAAAAGTTCAGGGTAAGTCTGGGGACAATTTTGGACAATTTGGAGCCACTTGAGGATGGCTGAAGACAATCAGGGGCCAGGTCTTGGGGCCAGCTGGAGCAGGGGACCCCCGGGGACCCTGGGGACGTGGAGGTACTCACGGGCCGGCGCTGTACCCGTCGTAGGTGGAGTCGTTGAGGACAACGGGCGCGGGGTCGAGGGCCATCACCTGTCCCCGCGGCGCCGTGTAGGCCAAGAGCCCCGCTGGGGGACAAGGGGACACGTCACCGTGGGG